GTAGCCTCGTGGGGTACAGGGCAGGCAGCAGGGCAGGTGGCCAGCGCTGTGGTGTAGGCCCTGCGAGTGTAGATGGCCCTGGGCCTGGAGCCCTGTGGCACGGATGTGCTCTTCCCCCTTGCCGATGAATGAGTGCAGGTGTGTGGGAGTGAATCCCAGAGGGTGCCGGCCACGCACGGGGGAGAGATCCTCCCAGCTGCCTCCCAGTGGGCTTCAGGGGCTCGGAGAGACCCTGCTGAGCACCTCCATCCTCTGCTCCCGGGCAGGGCTGGAATGACCCCAGGATGGGAAGTGCAGGCTTTGGAGAACTGTCAAGGGGCCTTGGGAGGCCCAGGCAGGCCGGGGTCCCAGGAAAGGGAGGCAGGAGGCAGCGGGGCCGGATGGTGGGGTGCAGGGGCGGAAGGAACAGGACAGTCTGGTCTGGCGGTGCTGGCTGTCAGGGACAGGAGGCCAGTTCACAGAGCGGAATGGTGGGTGGGCCAGGAGGGAATGGGAGCCTTTTGAAAAAGGCTTTCAGGGACTGTTTACCTTTAATGATTGGAACAAAAGACAAGGAAGACCGCGGTTCCTACAGGCGCTTGTTCCGGACCTGCTAGTACTGCTCCTTGACTTGACCTTGGCCTCCCGCCAGGCCTGGCAGTGGACAGCAGGGTCGCTCTTCCCAGCAAGGGAGAGCGTGGGTCCCCAGGAAGCGGGGAGGTGGTATAGCTGGGTTTCGGATGCCCATTCTAGAACGTTCTGGTGGAAGGAGGCAGGGACCAGCACAGCATGGCGGATCTCACCCTCCAGGCCCTCTCCTGGCTGTGCAGCCGGCATGATCCGGGCTCAGAGGCCGCCACTGCACAGCTCCCCGCCCCCCCCGCAATGGTAACTTTGCGGGAGGCAGGGCGGGTTCCTGGCGGTCAGTGCTGCCCATGCGGAGGCGTTCAGAGCCATGTAAATGGGTCTCCAGGGCTTGGAGGGACTGCACATCCTGGGCCTGTGGCGTGGTGTGGGCCTGGGAGGATGGGCAGCCTGCTGCTGGCTGTGCTGCTGGCTTTGGCCTCCGTGCCCAGGGCTCAGGCTGTGTGGCTGGGGAGACTGGACCCTAAACAGGTACAGTCTCCTGGGGGTGGGGAAAGCTGGTCCTCGGAGGCCGGTTCCTCCTTTAAGGCCACACAACTTCTGGGTCCCCCAAGACCAGCCCAGACCAGCATAGGCAGTGGGGGATGGGATGGGCTGGCCCTAGGGCTTCCAGAGGTAGGAGCCTCAGGGCAGGAGGGCTGGATGCTAAGGCTGGACGGTTGGAGGCTGGAGGGAGGCTGGAGGCTGGTGGCCCTCACCTGAGCAGCCTCAATGCAGCTTCTTGGGCCCTGGTACGTGCTTGCGGTGGCCTCCCGGGAAAAGAGTTTTGCAGTGGAGAAGGACATGAAGAACGTTGCGGGGGTGGTAGTGACCCTCACTCCAGAAAACAACCTGCGAATGCTGTCCTCTGAGCAGGGGTGAGTGGGGCGGGTCCTCTGAGTGGGGGGTGAGTGGGGCGGGTCCTCTGAGCGGGGGTGAGTGGAGTGGGTACCTCGGGGCCTTCCCGCAGGCGGGCCTATGGCTCAGGCAGAGACTCCACATGCACTTGGGCACCGCGGCCTGGGGGCTTCCCACGGCCCCTCTGCGCTCCCCTCACTGCTCCTGCTGGCTCTGCGGGGAGCCACTAGCCCCCTGCCCAGCTTCTCATCTGTGTCCCTGGGCCTCCGGTGGGACTCCCGCCTTCAGCGCCGCGGCCAAGCACCGCTCTGACCACCTGCTTGACATGTCCCTGGCCAGGGTCATCTGGGCTGCAGGCCGAGGTCACGGTGGGGAAGCCTGCTCTCTCAGGGACCTTTTTCAGGGATTCTGTTGGAAAGAGGGTCACGCATTCAGGTCTGAGAACCACCGGTTCTTTCGCAGCATCAATCCCCAAACAGTGTGCTCATGGTGGCTGTTGGCCGGGCTGGCCTTGTGACCACAGGCGTGGGGGGTGGCAGCGTGCAGCGCTGGGGTGGGCCAGGCTGCGGGCGGCCGTGCTACCCAGGGGCCACCTACAGGGCAGCCAGGCTGTGCGGTAGCCATGCTGGGCAGGCGTCGGGGCCTACGTCCCTTCGCAGAAGAGTGGGCTGCTGGCTGGCGGGGTGCGCGTCCACCCACTGGCAGGCTGGCTGCATAGCCCAGGCCTGAACCACTGAGCCAGGCACGGGCCGGGAGGGGAGAGCCTGCCCTCCTCCCAAGGGTGCTCTCCCCTGCACCTGCGCCTGCAGGGGATGGGCAGGGGCCCCACTGCACCCCGGGGCCCACCTGGCCTCAGGGCAAGCTGGGTCGCAGGAGCTCCAGGTTGAGGGGCAGCTCGAGCCTGGCTTTCCTAGGCCTTCTTGCTGCAGGGACCTCAGCCTCGGCTTCCTTCGTTGGCAAATGCCGCGGCACCTTGCTGGGGTCTGCTCACTCCGGGGACCGAACACTCGGGGAGCACGACCCCTGCCCCTGGGTCGCAGGTGAATGCCTGTCCCCAGCAGCATTGAGCACCCCTGGTGGAGGTCTGGGCCGAGGGGCTCTGGGGAGGTGAACGCGCGTGTTCGCTCTCAGGGTCCCGTGCTGCTCACTCCCCGAGGGCAGGCGTCTGGGCATGGGGCGTCTGGCAGAAGACGGCAGCTGTGGGCTCACTGCCAGCCGCCTGGCCTGGCCTGAACGAGCTCGACCTCCTCTCACGGGGCTCGGGGTCTGCCCCTGCGTGGGTGACGGGCCCCTTCTTTTCCAGGCTGGAGGGGTGCAGCCAGAGTGTCACGGAGCTGTTGAAGCGGAACTCCGGATGGGTGTTTGAGAACCCCTGTGAGTCTGATGGGGGGGGCCTCGCCCAGGCCTTCCTTCCCTGCAGCGTCCCCCGGCCCCCTGTGGGCAGGGACGGGGCGGGGGAGGAGGGGCAGACGCCACTCCCAAGCTCTGGTCTTGGGTCTGGTGCCCGTCCTGAGGGTGAAGAGAGGCCCCTGGACACGGGAGTGGACCTTCCTCCCAGCAGGCTCAGACACCCGTGGGGCCCAGCCAAGGTCTCTAGGGCCCCCGTGAGTGCAGAGGGTGAAGCACCCGTTCACTGGTGTCCTCGGGGACAGGGCTGGGCCGGTGTGACCTGCCGCTCCCCGTTCACGCCTGTGACAGGCTGGGGCAGTGCTCGTAGGTCTGTCCATCAGTCTCCGAAAGTCCCTTTATGCCGGCAGCAGGTGGGGTCGGGGGTGGGGGACGGAGCTCGGGAGCTCTGGGTGTGCTTCGAGGGGCCTCCTGGGGTTGGGGGCTCTCACTTGAGTCGGCCCCTCCGTGCCTGTGGCCTGCGCCCCCTCAGCAGCCCCAGGACGGGTCAGCAGCTGCCTCCCCCACCGTGGGGGTCTGTTTCCTAGCGGTAGGCGTGCTGGAGTTCCGGGTGCTGGGCACGAACTTCAGGGACTACGCCATCGTCTTCACGCAGCTGGAGTTCGGGGACGAGCCCTTCAACACCGTGCAGCTGTACAGTGAGTGGGGCCACGAGGGGAGCTGTGAGGTGGGGGGCGTGGGGGGAGCTGTGAGG